ATACTTTTGATCTAGTGCCCATATTGGTTTGTATATATGACATTTACTTTCATGCAGCTGTATTACCTGTATGTTTAATATTGAATAAATTAAAACATATTCAGAGGGTTGAAATTTTTATTTTCCATCAATGTATATATCTATATTTTTAATTGAAACTTTAAATGAATAGATTTGAAATTTTTCATGTTCACTTTTTGGATGCTCAGTTTTGAGTTTAGTATGTCCGAGTGTTTTTTTTTTTTTTTTTTAACCTCATAACATGAATAAAATCTTGCTGGGAAGAAAATTTTCTGTTGTAATAGTATAAGAATTAAAGTTTTAATAACAATTCACTGAATTTCACATTTTAAGAATTCCAATTTGATTTAAATACTTTCTTAAGTATAACTAATTGGGAAATGGTAACTTAATCGCATTCAAAATACGACACTTCTTAGTGCCTTGACATTGACTTTGGTTCTAAAATAATGTAGATGATGATAAATTAAGGACAGTTCCTTTTCTTTGCTGGTATAAATTAACTGAATGAATATTGAATCAAAAGAAATAAATCTGCATGGCATATAAAATTGTGCATCTTTTGGAAATTTATTTTTATTGTTCATCATCTCCATTTGTTACGCCTGTTGTTGATTTCGTGGAGTGTTAATAAGTTTCATTTTTATTGACTCATTCCTATCCCAGTTACTTGCAGTACTTTGAATTAATGAAAAATTATACTTTAAAATGTAGGATAGCAAATAGTTTTCTCCAGTCAATTTAGGGTTGTCACTCATTCACAGAGATATTTGCTACTTGTTTATTTGCTCTTAGTTGTAATAAACAATTTAATGGCATAAGTGTTTAAAGTAAAACACAAATGTGATTAATTTTATTTAATTTTAAGAGATAGACAAACTTGAAAAACATTTTTTAAAGTTATCAATATTTGAATCACAGAAGTCAGTTTATTTTCATTTATTGTAGTCTAGTTTAGATTGAACAGTTCCCAGTTGGGTTTATGTCCAGTGATTGGACAGGAACATCACTAGAAGACAGTATTTCTATCAGGATAGTCTCTAAGCAGTTAAGTATATAACCCTGACTCTACTTTAAAGTTGTTGATCTGTCATTCCCTGTCCCAGCACTACCACAAACATATTCTTGGCATTGTCACTTGGCAGTATTTTTGATCTTCATGCCCATTGCATATCAACATTGCTAAACTGAAGGTAACTATATTCTATGGGGATTTTGCCTAGTGTTCATTATGATTCTGCTGAGATTTCAGGTGTGAAATTTGTGTGGCCATAGTAACTTTCTCTGCTGAAAACCAATTTCACAAAACAAACTCTAGATAATTAACAATGGGTTTAATGAACACCAACTGAATAATTTAAAAAGTACATAAGGAGTAAAGAATTATAGATGTTTTGTCAGGAAAACTATTGCAGCAGTAAATTATAATAATTTGAGAGGCCTTGGTCTTGTATTGTATTCTTGTCTGTGAATTTGTTAATGGCAGAAGCAGCAGCAAGGGGAGGGAAAATGGCTTAGAACAGACATCTGCCATCTTCTCTGTCCAGTCCTGGCTGTCTTTTGCCAGTCTCATTTATATAAGGTTATTGATGACCTGCCTTTGTCCAGTAACGTATGACCATCTTTGGAATGTGGTCAGGTGAAAATCCTGGCATGTCAAATTCAATCACTTTCTCACCGACGTCACATGGCATTCCTCTGTCTTTTCTACAAATATTTTCATGGCAACTTCTCTGATGAGCTTTTTTCAACAGCATGCCACTAGATTGGCATCTAGGTCCCACTTGTTTGCAGTTGAAATAGCTAAATGCAACTGCTACTTCTATTCCAACAGTTTCTTTTCTCATACTTTCCGCCTGTGGAACTTCCTTCCATTTACTTGCTTCCCTGATAACTACAATATTCAAAAATAATCTATTGTAACTTGGAGTTATCCCTTGTGTGCATTTAGAACAGGAATAATGAATTTCAAAGACCAGCAAAAAAAAAAAATTCTTGTTTATATCTTTTTTTTTTCTTACACACACTGTGTTGATTTTATATAATTAACAAAGATAATTATCTATTTTTGAGCCTAAAATAAAAAGACAAAATTATTTATTAAATTATTTATTCTACTTAATTTATCCAATGTTCTAGTGAAATGTTAGTAGATTAGTGAGAAAACTGAAATTTGATCAATAACATTGACAAGCAGTCATATTTGAATGGATTATTAGCAATTTCTTTGGATGCCTTTTTGAAACCAAAAATATGAAAGATTAATTGAAAAGCTTTTTTCTTTTAACTATATAAAATGTCCTAAGATCTTAAGTTTTTGTTTTTTAAAAGAAGCATTTTTGTTTTCTAATATAAAAATAACAGCCAGGTGCTTAACATATCAAAGTTTAAATGAAGCTTTCAGGAAAATGTTTTCTGTGTATTGTTTGACAAAAATTTATTTCTAGCAGAGTCACAGCACTTGTTCTATTTTGGTTGTTTATTTTATTCCTCTCACAAGCAAACTGCTAACACTTCACTCTTTCATTTAATTTTTTTCTCCACCCTTATATTAACTTCTCTGAAACAAGTCTTTGTCTTGATTTGTAGAGTCAGATGAACTTGTATGCTTACCTGCTTACCCTTGCTGATTTTTATCATTACACTTTAGCTAATGTATTATTCAATATTCCTCAGGTGTGTAATTCAACAGGTAGAAATTTTTCATTTGGTTACTTAATAATGCTCAAGTTTAATATTTAAGAGATTTGATTTCTCCTTTATAGCTCCTTATGTCAATTATGTATATTGGATATAAGTTTTTTTGTGCTGGTTATATAAAATAGTTTTGCTGTAGCAAACTAACCTCATGTTAGGCATAAATCAATTGGATATTTTTTAATCTCTCCTTTTTATAATTTGAGTTCTTTGTCAGCTTACAGTTGACATTTTCAAAATTTGCTCCTGTAGTTAGGTTTTGTCATTATTGCAAGTTACTTTTTCAGAATTTGTAGTCAATAGTCCAATTCTTGTTGTAGGCTGTCAGGAATTATAAGTTTTGCCTATTGTTGCTGACAACCTGCTACTCTTATACATAGAAGAGCTGATTTTGAATTCAAAATTAATATAATCTGCCATGTATTGCATTTCTGAATTCTTTAGCAGGGACTGAGAATTTTCTCTGCAAGGTGAAGGGTGCCATGTTGTTGCTATTATATCCAGAGCAGAAAGAGAGGGAGAGAATTTGTTTTCATAGTCCTGAGTGCCACTACCTAGTGGGCATCTTGACAGACAAGTTGGAAGTAATTCCCACAGGTTAAATAAATCTGAGAAGTTACATCCTTGTCTTATGCTGCTCTCTATTTTTATGTACTTGCTCAATTCATTTTCTTTCTGTATGCAGGCTGTTTGTTCCCAGTATGTCTTGCTGCAAAATTATAAAGATGAGGTTATTCATATAAATAACTTGTGGAATAAATTGTATGTGCTTTAAGTTACTCTTATTTTTTTTTTTTTCCCTCACAGTTTATTAAGTTTTAAACTTGGTTGTACATTTTAAGAGTCTCATTTTTTTGACAAATCTTTAGCTGACAACTGATTGCCAATATATATTGTTACAAAATTGTCAACTTTTTTTTTTCTTACATGAATATTTCCTACTTACTTTCATGTGCAAATCTACCTAACTAGACAAAATATTTGTAAACTTTGTTCAACTGTCAAAATGTTTTTAAAAATAATAAAAAGTATGCAATTTTTGGGTTTTGCTGTATGACTTTTATATTTTGATGCCTAAAGTTTCATCAATTCCTTTACAAGCAACCTGTTTTTTTTTTTTCTGTCCTTGAGTTTATCATCTTCATAGATTTTTTTTTTTTTCTTTTATCTGTATTCAGGTCTGTGAAAAGTTACAGCCTTCAATATTTTGCCAATCTGTTTATTTTTAGCTATACTGACATTTTAACCAAAAACTAAATTCTCTATTGCTTTGTGCTGATAATTGAATTTTCTCATGAAGAGAGAAGGGGAGAAAATACTGGAATCTATGACTACTAGTCCTGGAAATTGCTTATCATCTAGAAACGCATAGGATTTTTGTTTTAATATAGTTAGCCCCCAGGACCCACAAGTGGTGGTTTGATAGGGTCCCTGGGTTCAATGCAATGGGTTCCAACTAAAGTTTCGTAAATATTTTTTTTTTTTTTTTTAAATTCAATACAAAACCAGCTCAATTATGAAACCATTTTTTTTTTTTTTTTTTTATAAAAAAACAAACAAACCAAGAAAGTGTCTGGTATGGTGACATTGTTTATATCATGCCACCCACATTCTACCACCCAATGAAAGAAAGGAAGAACTAGTAAAAATTATTTAGAAAGAATAACACCAAATGATTAATGAAGTGTTTATTATTTAAAATTATAAAAAAATATTGGCCTTCCTATGACCTGTATTAAACCATACAGGAAAATTTCTTTTGTCTGAAGATATTTTTTCAAGCCCTGTTAACTTGTGTCCCTGGGACACTTGGATAAGAAAGTTACTGCAGCCTTTAAGATTTTTATGCATTGAGGACACAGGACATGCACCTGTCAACATCTCTGTTCGTCCTTTCAGATCTCAGGTCAAGGCAGATTTTGAAGGGTGTGTATTCTATGGTACCCCATCTCTGGTCTGCCAGCCAGAGACTAGTTTGCCAAAAGAAGAGGATCTTTGGGAGATAGCCTTTCATCCTTGCCTCATTGCTTGCTTATAGCTGATGTTTACCTATTTTATTTATTTATTTTTTTTTTAATCCAGTTATTTTTAACTAGCATTTGATTGCTGAGTAGAACTTTACTACCATTTTCTTTTTGGAGATTATAAATTCCCTAAGAAATGACCAAGACATATTGTGAATATTACTGTATTTGATGATGAAATTTATGAAAGGAACACTCACTTTATCAATGTCAAAAAAATAATTCTTTTTTTTTTTTTTTTTTTTTTTTCCCCCCAAGGAATGGAGAAACAATTTTGTGAAAGGAGCTTTGTTGGCCTCTCTGAAAAAACATTGGAAAATTTTTGTACCTATTGTATTTGCCCCAAATCAAGAAAACAGTAAAGAAGAAAGATTATCACTGAAGATTATTTTCAGTCCATTGGAAAGTTTTTTATGCAATGGAGATCCTGAAACGGTATTCAAACAGTTAAAAGAAAAAGATGTACCCTCACAGATATGTGGCCATGTTTTTAAGCATGGTGAACCAAGTTATTCATGCAGGTAAGGGTTTTTTGTTTTTTTTTTTTACTTTTTCTTTTACACATGAAGTGGAAAAACAAAATATTGATTCCATTCACAAGAAAACATTGTGTATTTCTTAAATCTGCCTTCCAGAAAGTAAATATATAGATATTCATACTCTTTAACATAAAGTCTGTTGACAGATAATTACTCACTCCCTAGAGATTTCTTCGGTAAAAAAATTGAATAAACATGAAAGAATCCTTGACTTGTCTGCACTAGGAAAGCATGAAATCTACAATAGTAATGCCTGCAGGTGGTGATGTAAACATACATTTTCAGTCCCTCTTTCTCTCTCTTTGTCTCTCACTGACCAGACAAATGATCTTCTGTTATTTCTGTTCTTATTTGTATTTGTGTACACAAAAATTGAGAAAGGTTGTGTGTTTTACAATGATGTTCACTCTGTACAAAGCCCGGAATCCATTTGAGGTAGAGGGTTACAGAGTAAGAGGCACAGTTTATGTGGGAAAGATAACAGACTTGAACAGGTTAAAATTGTAGTAATCAGGGAAGCATCCTCTTGGGAGTCAATTCCACAAAGTAGTGTTTTTTTGGGAAAAGCTACTCAAGTGGAACTTCCATCTCACCAATGGAATATGAAAGGAATGAGGAGGGTTTGGTAAAATGTATGTGACATGGCAGGTCTTAGCCATGAAGGTTAGAACTGGTGGAACTAAGGAATGTAATTTGTTTGAACACTTTTCATGGAAATAGCAATAGAAAAGTGATAGGCTTGTGATGTTTTGTATGTGAGAAAGGGGTTTTAGGGTAGAAAATAATTTGTTACCTACAAGGATACGGAGACTCTTTTGGACTCTTTATACATTCTCAATGGAAAATAAATGATGAAATTGCCACCATGATGAGAAATGAAATCCTGAATCTGGTTTCCAATGTATTTGGTTGTTCATTAGAGATTCACTTGTATGGTCTGAATGTGTAGGTAGGTGATTCCTGGAACAACTTCTACTTCTGCCAAGACAGACTAATTGATCAGCTTTTCTCTTCAATCACCAAGAACACTCTCCTACTACCCCTGTGCCCTTCTGACCCAGGTAAAATCATTTACCGTCCATTTCTATGTTGGTGTCCTGATTCAGTTGTGTAAAAAGACCTATAGTGTCATAGCCACACTCATTAGGGACTTCTCAAAAGTAAATGGCTTGAAATCTATGGCCTTCTTGTAGTATTTTTCTTTTCCACAGTTTTATATTGCAACCAGTGAATATGTCCCTCTCATTTACATGATACAATCTCGACTAGGAATTGTTTTTCATGTATAAAAGGGATTCATTGTTTTGTGACAATGCTTAAAGAAACAATTTATTAAACATAGTTTTATAACCAAAAAAATGGTTATCTATTTCTTTTTAAAATTTTGTTTTTGTTCAAAAAATAAATAATTTTAAGATATAGTGAATTACTAAGTCTAGTTAGTTTTTAGCTGAATTTTGACCTGAAAATGTTTAATATGATTAATAGAGAAGTGTTGGGATATGTTGATGTAAATGTGTAAAATTAGGTACCTCCATGAGGTTGCTAAAAAAAAAAGAAAAGGACGCCAAACTTGACGAAAACAAAATTTTATCGTCTAAATGTTTGTTATTAAGAGGAAAGATCAAAGTATTTTTGGGGTATTTTTTTTACATTTTTTAATCGTTCCTAGCATGTCCAAAATTTTTGTTAAAAATCTTGTTTTTTTTGTTTTTGTTTTTGAGTCCGCAAAATTGACCTTTTTTTTTTTCCATTTTATAAAAAAAACTGGAAATCTCACTTTGAAATTCTTTTAAATATCAATTATCATTTTTTCAAAACTTATTTTAAGAAAATCAGAAATTATGTTTATTTAAAATATTTTGAACCAAGCTTAACTTAGCTTCCACACTGAAAAGATGCAATTTCAAAATAAAACAAAGCAGGTCATAAACTTTCGCGTCACTTGACAGGTGATGAATGACATATTGACGGATTCCGTGAGGATAATTTGTTCTACGGAAAGAAAAAAAGTGAAATAATTTACATTTAAGTGAACAAATTATTTACCTCATTATTATTAAGGAAAACTTTCAGCGCCCTAATGTTTCTTTTTGTACTTAGCTTTCACCTTTACGTTTATGATGCTTTATGGAAAATATATTAATAAGAAATTGAAATAAGACTGTTTAGAGTGAGATTAAATTTCATATTTCATAAGAAAGGTATCTAATTAATTTATAGATACCTTTCTTATGAAATATAAAAATAAGATCATATAAATTTCATAAGATGATACTGATACTTGTAGGTACCCTTCTCAGTTGAAATTGAAAAATCAAATTAACTTCTCCACACGTGTTTTGCAAAAGTAAAGGCCTTAACAGCTGTACTCAGAGAGGTTGGAGTCTTCCACTGCAAAGAATTAGCCTTGGTCTCATAGTCATAGCCACGCAGCTAAGAAAGTTCACTGTTGTGCTAGGCATTTTTTCTCGTCAGAATCTATCTTACATATTTATAAGTCTACCATTCATCCTTATGTTGAATATTACTGTCTGATGCTCCTTACTATATATTTAGAGATTCTTAATAAAATCCAAAGAATCTGCAATGTTATTGGTCCTGACCTGGCATCTTGGCTTCAGTTCTTATCCCTCTGATGTAATGTAGGATCCCTGTGCCTTTTCTATAAATACTTTTATCATAATTGTTCTGATAAACTTTCTGCTGTGGTACCTAGAGTTTATGAATTTAAATACAGTACTAGATTGACAGCACAGTCTCAACATTTTACAGTTGAAATGGCTAGATGTAACTGTAATTTCTATGCTAGCAATTTCTATCATTTGTGGAACTCTCTTCTGGCTTCCTGCTTCCCAGTCAACTTTGATCTTCAAAAATTTAAATGCAATGTTAGTCATTATCTTCTGTCTTAATTCTTGCTCCTTTATTGTCCTCTCTCCTTAATAGTAGTTTTTCTCATATTCTCTAACACTCAATAACTCCTTGCATCCTAGTGGCTTGATTGCCTTGCTTGGAGTGAAATAATTAAAAAGTTTGTCACCACCTGCAGATTCCTGAGGAAATAAGGCTCCTGATGAAAAACCAGCCCCCAATCAATGAAAACCTCTGCCACCAACAAGAGACTAATTGGTGAATATGACTAGCGAAGTTTAAAGTTAGGATGGAGATATCTTCCTCCACTTTTGACATTGTGATATATATTGTGAATGTTTACAATTAAATATTACTTGCCTTTCTGTATGATTCATGTGCTGATTATGAATTTTAAATGTTTTTACATTAAAAATGGAGGAAAGTAAGATGAATTTTCATCATTTGATGCTCCTTTATTTCCAAAAATGAAAAAAAAAAGCTGTACAAGCAGCAAAAAAAGATATGTATAATTTATAGAAATGGTTGCATAGTTGAGAGTACTGTTCATAAGTAGTTGACTAGGTTCAGAAGTGGATATTTTGACCTGGAAGACTGAGAAGGTTCTGGTAAACCTGCAATTGTTGTTAACCAAACACAGATTAAAAATAATCATGGTCACACAACACATGGCATCACAGAAATATTCTACATATCTCGTATGAGTGTTATAAAGTATTTATAAGGATTTGGATATTTGAATTGCTACAATGTTTGTGTGCCTCACAATTAATAGAAAAATTTTAATGGACATTACCATCTGCGATTCTCTGCTCGAATGCAACAAAAACAACCCACATTTGAAAAGTATGTTTACAGGTAATGAAAAATGGATTGTTTGCAACACTGGAGTAAAAATGTTTGGGGGGTAAAATGAGAAGTCACTGTTAAACATTTCCAAAGCTGGTCTGCATTTGAAGAAGGTGATGCTGGAATTTGAAAGGTTATGTTCAGTCAGATAGTGATATTAAAGATAGTTCTAAGGTTTTTGGTTATAAAGAATGTGTACTTGTTTTTATTCTTATGAAACTTAACATACCAAAATCATATGAAGACTCAAAAAAGGTTCCATCAGCATTGCTTATTTGCCATCCTCAAAATTCATCTGATGTCAAAAATGCAGGACACTGAAGTTTAAAGCTGGTTTGCATCCACAGTATTGAAAGTGAAATATAAATCCAACATGAGTTACAAAAAACGAAAGATTAACCCTAAACCAGCCTCTCAGAAACCACCTAAACCCCTCAACATTTCGTTCTCCAACATCCGGGGCATTAGGACAAACTTCTGCAGTCTGGAATCTTTCCTCACTGCAAACGGCCTGGATGTACTGGCTCTCTGAGACAAACTTTGTCTCATCTATCCCCTCTTCTGATCTCTCAATGGCTATCTTCCTCTCTTCAGAAAAGACTCTCTAACCCACATGCACGGTCTTGGTGTCTCACTCAAGGAACATCTCCCTCTGGCCAGAGAGTCCTCTCTCAAATCGCCTGACCAGTCATACATGTGTCTCCGACTCTCTCTCATCAAGTAAGCTATCTCTTCTTCCTTTACCGCTCTCCATCCTCTCAAGACTGTGAGATACTTGATAGCATTTCAGACAACATAGACAAGGCTCTCTCCCTCCACCCGTTTGCTCACATTTTTGTGTTTGGAGACTTTAACGCCCATCACACTCTGTGGCTTAAGAATGCTACTACTGATCATGCAGGCATTCAAACGCTTAATTTTTCAATCTCCCATTCCTTCACACAGATAGTTAACTTCCCCACTCGTTTTGCCTTCAACCGGGAAGGTAAAGCCTCTCTACTCGACCTTTGCTTTACCTCCATCCCCGAATCCTGCAGCGCCTCGCAACTATGCCCTTTTGGTAACTCTGACCATGCAGTAGTATCGGTTAACATCTCCTTTAACTCCACCCCCTATAAAGAACCTCCTACCACTAGAACTTCGTTCTATTATCAATGAGCTGACTGGGACGCGTTCCGTGATTTCCTCCGCGATGTCCCCTGGGATGGAGTCTTTAAGCTCCCCGTCTAAGAATGTGCTTCTGAGGTCTCTTCCTGGGT